GCTGGGCTAAAAGTCAAGGGGTAGTTGGGTGTCCTATTTTAGAATTTCGTAGGGTGGGGGGGAAAAACAAACTCTGTCAAAATTTGAAAAACTGTTTAACTTATCCACCTAGCACTGAAAGCGAAGGGGCTGCGCATCAGACTAAGTTCTGCAGTAATCTCTTTTCTGTGTATTTATTTACTATACTCCATATTTAATTCACATTCTTTCTTAGGCAGTCAGAGCCAATTGTATCTGACCCTTATTATTACTACTATCGTTGAACAATTCATGACTCGTGGTCTTCCAATCCTCTGCTATAGGATAAGTATGTCCTGGTCAGCGGTATCATCAAGAGTCGTGCTGGTCCAACACGCCAAGTGGTGGCAGTCACCGGCGACGGTACTAATGATGCGCCTGCGCTGAAACGAGCTGACGTTGGCTTCGCCATGGGCATTGCAGGCACTGATGTGGCTAAGGAGGCCTCCGACATCATCCTTACGGACGACAATTTCACCAGCATTGTCAAGGCCGTCATGTGGGGTCGAAACGTCTACGACTCTATCGCCAAGTTCCTACAGTTCCAGCTCACTGTCAACGTGGTGGCCATCCTCGTCGCCTTTATTGGTGCCGCTGTTGTTTCCGTAAGTATATGAAAGGGAGAAAGAGAGAGAGAGTCCTTTTAATTAGATATTTCTCCCAACGCTGAACGTGGAAATAAATTTTCTTGTGGTCATCAGTGTGGTGAATCATGATCTGCCTCGAGAAATTCGGCTTCTGTTTAGAAGCCAAATAGAGAAGACTTCATTCACTTTTGGGCTAGGACCATGAAACTATGCGAGGACACTTGCTATTCCGGTATTCTCTCGATGCTTATCTACCCTTTGCTTGTTGTCTAGATAAAATCTGTCGGACGGGGAATGTTCTCCTCATGCATCATCGCCCCCCTTAACAACGGTTTGAGTTTTGGCGCATTTCCTGTGTAAGAAACAAAAGAATAGATCGTTGATTAAACGAGAAAATTGTGTGCATTTTGAATTTGCTCCAAAATTATACTGACCACAAACAGTGCTGCAGAGAACCTCAGCCAATCCCCGCTGACAGTCGTCGGGCAGGTTTATTCGAAAACTTAAGGTTCAAAAAAATGATGATGAGCATGGAAACCTGAACTACCCTAAATTGTGCCTACATTTAGTTTATCCTTCCTCACTGTTATGGAGTCCTTACAACTGTTTTACTCGTCGCCGCACGCTCAGAGCTACTCTGTTGGATGTTTATGTAGATAAAACCGTCGCCACGGTCATGCATATCCGGTTGGGTTACTATGCGCATTAACTGTGTTTACGCTAAACTCGACACCCACGAGCGGCGTAAAAACTGTTTACTGCTGACAAAATGCTGACTGCCTACAAAGTTTCAAAATTATCTGAACACTTATGTGCTCGAATCAAATCTCGGCCATGTTTGCTTACGGGAATACGTTAGTTGGATTGATGAATTCGGAGGAAAATCTGTTCTATTTCTTTCGGAATCATTTTCTTTCTTGCCTTCGTTTGACCAGGTCCGCTGAAAAGAATGTGTTTTTCGTTGAACTGCAAAGGACTTCCACTTTCCATCTCGGG